CACATGCATTGTTTAGAATTTATTTATTCATTTATCCATTCCACTTTTTTTTTTTTTAAGAGACAGGATTTCATTCACTCTGTGGCCCAGGCTCACTGCAGCTTCAAACTGCTGGGCTCAAGTGATCTTCCCACCTCAGCCTCTTGAGTAGTCATTCTACAAATATTTACTGTGGGCCTACTATGTCCTAAGCAGTGTTCTAGTTGCTAGGGATATTACAGTAAGTAAAATAAAGTCACTGTTCTCATACAGTTACATTTTAGTGAGTATAGACAAAAAGTTAAACAAATGAATAAGGATATAATATGTTCAACAGTAAAAGGTAGAATAAAGAAAAAGAGAGTTGGATAACGGGATAGAAATGACAGGAGGTGGGAGTGGATACTAGTGTAGATGGTTTGGTCAGGGAAGACCTCTCAGATAAAGTGACATTTGAGCTGAGACTGAAATGAAGTGAGTATTTTTGCAGGAAGAAAGTTCTTGACAAAGAGAAGACAAAATGCCAAGTCCCTGAGGTTGGCATGTGCTTGGTACCTGGTGGAACTGTTTCAAGTCTTAGGGTTACAAACAAGGCCCTGAGGGATGGTGCTTTTTTAAAAATTGAGATATCATTCATATACCATAATATTCATAAGTGTATAATTAGGTAGTTTTTTTTTTTTTAGTATATTCACAGTTGTATTTTTTAAAAAGTGATGATTTGGTTCTGCCTCTGACCAAGATGGAGTAACAGGGACCAGATTTACCTTCTCACTTGAAACAACCAAAAAAACAGACAAAATATGTGAAACAGTGGTTTTCAAGACACCAGACAACAGGCAATGAAGGACACTGATCCTTGAGAAATGGGATACACAAGAGGTGAGGGTATCTAATCCCCAGCTGACTGCCTTGAGAGAATGTCCAGACTGCAGGGCAGGGAGAGGAAACCCAGGGACAAAGAAAGTCATTTTATAATTATCAAAGGGCCAGTCAAGAGGATATATCAGTCCTAAACATTTATGCTCTTAATAAGAGAATGTTAAAATACATGTAGCAAAAATCAACAGAACTGAAAGGAAAAATAGACAAATCCACAATTATACTCTGAAATTCAATAGCCCACTCTCAATAATTGACAGAAAAAGTAGGTGGAAAATCAATGAAGATACAGAAGATTTAGATAATACTGTCTACCAACTTCATCTAATTAACATTCATGGAACACTTCACCCATCAGCAGCAGAATACTTGTTCTCTTCACATGCACACAAAACATTTACCAAGATAGACCATATTCTGGGCAATAAAACAAGCCTTAATACATTTTTAAAAATTCAAATATAATAGTACACTGTATGTTTTCTGACACAATGGAATTAAAATACAGCTCAAGAACAGAAAGATCTCAGGAAAATTCCTAAATACTTGACAACTAAATAATATATGCTTCTAAATAACCTATGGGTCAAAGGAGAAATTAAAAGAGAAGTTAGAAAGTATTGTGAACTGAATAAAAATGAAAGCCCAACATATTAAAATTTGTGGGATGCAGCTAAAGGAGTAGTTAGGGGGAATTTATAGCACCAAATGAATATCTTAGAAAAGAAGAAATGTCTCAAATTAGGAAATGACATCAGTTTCCATTTTAAAATATTAAAACAAGAAGAGAAAATTAAATCCAAAGTAAGAAGACAAAAGGAAATAATAAAGAGTGAAAATCAATGGAACCAAATGAGAAAAATCAATGGACCCAAAAGCTAGTTCTTTGAGAAAGTCAATAATGTTGATATATCTCTAGCCAGCCTGATCAGGAAAAAAAGAGAAGGCACAGGCTGGGCAGAGTGGTTCATGCCCACAGTCCCAGTACTTTGAGAGGCTGAGGTAGAAGGATCGATCACTTGAGCCTGGGAGTTGAAGACCAGCCTAGACAATATAGTGAGACCCTGTCTCTATAAAAATATTAGCCGGGTGTGGTAGCATGCACCTGTAGTCCTAGCTACTGGGAAGGCTGAGGTGGGCAGATCACTGGAGCCCAACCTGAGCAACAGAGTGAGACCCTGTCTCTCTAAAAAAAAAAGAGAGAAGATATAAGCTATCAATATCAGGTATGAGAGAAGTAAGTGATATCACTACAGATTCTATAGATATTTAAAAAGATAATAATAGAATATTATAAACAACTTTGTGCCAATAAATTCCATAACTTTGATAAACTGGACAGATTTTTGAAAGACACAAGCTACCAAAGCTCACTGAAAATTTTTTTAAAAACCTGAATAGTCATTTATCTATTAAAGAAATTTAATTGGTAGTTAAAAACCTTCCCACAAAATTCCAAGTCCAAATGGCCTCATTGGTGAATTCTGCTAAACATTTAAGAAATAATACCAATTTAACTCAAAATTTTCCAGAAAATTAGGCTAGGGGATACTTTCCAACTCATTCTATAGGGCCAGTATTACTCTGATACCACCAAAATCAAATAAAGACATTATAAGAAAACTATAGACCAATGTCCCTCAAGAACAAAGATGTAAAAATTCTAAACAAACTTTTATCAAACCAAAGCCAACAATAATACAGTAAAGGATAATACTTCATAACCAAGTGTGGTTTATCCCAGGATTACGATGTCAGTTTAATATTAGAAAAAATTCCATGTAATTTACCATATTAGCAAACTAAAAGAGAAAAACTATTTGATTATCTCAGTGGACACACATACTCAAAAAAAGCATTTGAAAAATTCCAACATCCATTCCTGATAAAAATTCTCAGCAAACTAGGACTAGAAAAAACTTCTTTAACTTGATAGAGGGCATCTACAAAAAACCATACAGCTAACATCATACTTAATGCTGAAAGACTGAACGCTTCGCCCTTAAGATCAAGAACAAGACAAAGATGTTTGTTTTTATTACTTCTTTTCAACAGTGTACTAGAGGCTTTAATCAATTAAATAAGGCAAGAAAAAGAAATAAAATCTATCCAGATTGGAAAGAAATACAAATGTCTTTACTCACAGACATGGCTGTCTATGCAGAAAAATCTAGTGGAATCTACAAAAGAACCCCTAGAACTATTACGTGAGTTTAGCTAGGTTACAGGTTACAAGACTAATATACAAAAATCTATCATATTTATATATACTAGCAATGGACAATTGAAAATTGAAAGTAAAAACAAAAAAAGGGCTGGGCATGGTAGCTCACGCCTATAATCCTAACACTCTGGGAGGCCGAGGAGGGAAGATCGCTTGAGCTCTGGAGTTCAAGACCAGCCTGAGCAAGAGCAAGACCCCGTCTCTACTAAAAACAGAAAAAATTAGCCAGGCATGGCAGTGCATGCCTACAATCTCATCTATTTGGGAGGCTGAGGCAGAAGGATCCCTTGAGCCTAGGATGCAGTGAGCTACTACACTCTAGCTGGGGCCACAGAGTGAGACTCTGTCTCAAAGAAAAAAAAAAAAAAGAAAAGAAAAGAAATCATTTACAATAGCATCAGTACAGATGTAGGCATAAATCTGATAAAATACGTAAAAGCCTATATTTAAAGCCATCAAAAAAATTGATGAGAGAAACCTCATATTTAAAGCCATCAAAAAATGGATGAGAGAAACCTCTTAAAGACCTAAATAAATGGGAAGAGACAGTGTGTTGATAGGAAGGAAGCTTCAACATACGTTGTTGATATGTCAATTCTCCTCAAATTGATCTACAGATTCAATACAATCCCAATCAAAATCTAGAATTTTAGGTTTTAAAATTCATATAGAAATAGCCAGGACCTGGACTAGTCAAAACAACTTTGAAAAGGAACAAAGTTGGACAACCTGGTCTCAAGATTTATTATTACTAACACCAGTATGGTACAGTACTGGTGTTAAGAGAGACAAAGAGGTCAAAGAAACAGAATATATGGACAACTAATTTTCACCAAAGGTACAAAGGCAATTCAGTAGGGAAAACACAATTTTTTTCAACAAATAGTCTTAGAATAACTACATATTCATATATAGAAAAATGAACTTTGATTCATATACCATATACAAAATTAACTCAGGGTAAATCATAAGCCTAAATGTAAAAGCTAAAACCATTAAACTTTTAGAAGAAAACATAGGAAAAACCCTTTGTGACCCTGGGTTAGGCAAAGATTACTTAGACACAACATCAAAAGCACAATGCATAAAAGAACAAACTAACAAACTGGACTTCATCAAAATTAAAAACTCTGATCTTAGAAAGAAACTATTACCAGAATGAAAAACAAGCCATGGGCTGGGAGAAAATATCTGCAAATCACATATCTGATAGAGGATTTGTACACTAGTGATTTTCAAAGCACCCCTCCTCACAGACATGCTATGATTAGTGGATCTTTGTGTAAGAGGGAGACTCAGGCAATACAAAGCAATTATCAGTAAGCATCCAGAGTAGTGGTTCTCTAACCTCAGCATCAACTAGAGGCTGTGTTAAGACACAGGTTGCTAGGTCCCACCCTCAATTTCTGAGTCAGTAGAGGCTGGTGCTGCTGCTGCTGTTGGCCTGCCTACCACACTTAGAACTCCGAATCTAGACTAATTTACACTAAAATAGAAATATAATGTCAGATGCAAGATTTTTCCCTCCAAAGGGCAATTGCCAAATAAACTATGTTCATTAAGAAATAATGTGTTTTTCCCTTTTTTATTGGCTACAGACATCCGTAACTGTTAATCAGAGAATTCTGATCAGCAAGAAATAACAAACATGACATCACTGAGTTGGCACGATTCTAGCCTCGCCTCTTTGTTGAATGCACACTTTGGTTTCCACAAAGCTTTTCAAGTCCTCTAAGCCTAAGGCCTTCCCTGTTCAGAATTCACCCTGGAAACTATGCGAGGCCTTAGACTAACCATCCCGGAACAGCAACATGAAGGGAACGATCTTGCCACACTGAGGCCTGTCCAATTTCCCTGACCCTCCCACCTCACGTCCCCACGTCCCCCTGATGCAGGGCTGCCACCCAAGTCTCACCGTCCAGGATAGCCCACTGATTGTCAATCTCTGTATGTTTCAGGTAGGAGTCCTCAATGGTGGGGTCGTAGTCAGGCACAAAGATCTTCTGGAAAAACTGGATGGTGAGGGCACTCTTGCCCACACCCCCATCCCCCACCACCACCAGCTTGTATGTGGGGAGGTTGTCACTGGGGACGGCGCTGGTTGCCATGTTTCTCGTAGATCAGACCTGGGGAGGCAAGACATGTGGAATGAGGCAGGGGCCTTTTTTCTTTTGTCACTTAGGGGAAAGTATTCATGCATTTTCCTCCCTTCTTATAAAGTAATAAATATTACTTTAAATATTATCAATTATAGAAAGGATTAAAATTGAAAAAAAATGATGCAAAAGAAAGTAAAAGTATGATCCCTGGTCCCCCCACCCAGGACAATCCCTGTTAAAATGAGTCATTCAACCAGCATTTATTAAACACCAACTATGTGCCAGGCCTGATCGTGGGGATTCAGTACCACCAGTCTTGTTTAACAAGAACAGCCAAAAGCTATGGCAAAGAAGCTTTTCAACCACTAAATTTCTGCCCTGGACTTGCACAGGTAAACATGAGGGTATTATTGGTCTGAGCAGGGATGGCATGAAGGTTCACCTTTCAAATAATCTCTTAGCAGTTGGGATGCTATGCCAAGAAGGATGTAAGGCCATGTAGAAGCTCACAGAGAAAGGGGGCCATGATAGTTTGGCACACCTGAGCCCAGGGACTCCATGGCCCCTTCCCACTGTCAGAATTCCGTTATCTTGCCTCCTTTCCTTCTGTCTCCTTGCCCTTTATCATGTACAAAGTCATGCATGCTGGACTCTTAGGGCATCTGGTTAATCCCATTTTAGCAGGGGAGGAGCAGGCAGAAGTTTTGTTTTGATGATGTTGAGTCTGGCTAAGGCAGTGGTTCTCAACAGGGGTGACTCTGCCGCCCAGGGATATTTGCAACGTCTGGAGATATTTCTGGTTGTCAGAACTGAGTGGGTGCTACTGACATCTAGTCAGCAGAGGCCAGGGACCCTACAATGCACAGCACAGTCAGTCCCCCCCAACAAAAAATTATCCATCCTAAAGTGTCAATAGCACCAAGATTGAGGAACCCTGAGCTAAGGTGACTAGGAGGCAGTTGGGAATGGGATGGACCAGGATTCTAAAGAATAACTGGGCCTTAACAGATAACAACTGACTATGAAGAGGTGAGAGCAGAGACGTGAAGAGTAACCTTTGGAAACAGTGTCACAAGGTGACAAGGACAAGAGGCAAGCAGGGAGCATGGAAGGAGCACTCAGAGAAACAGGAGGGAAACCAGGATCTGTCTCGAAAATAGAGGCCAGTAGTTCCAGAAGGAGATGGACAGTGCTAAATGTTAAGCACTAGTGGGAGGGGGGGCTGGGAGTCACCTAAAGCACAACTTGGGGCTGTTGCCAGGAACCTAACCTACTGGCCAAGGACCCTGCTAAGGAGAAGCAATACTACTTCCTGGTAGGGCAGTCTTGGGTAGCACAAAAACTGACCGTGAACCGAGGGAGGGAAAGCTCGATCCTACTGCTGTGTAGAAGAAAAGATCCTTGTGCAAGTCGGGAGGGGGGAAGGCATGGTGTATGTGTGACAGGGAAACCTACGGTCTCCTAGAGGGCAGGAGGCAGTGTGGCCGGGAGGACAAGGAACCGAATGCCCTGCATGCTCGGCCAATACTCGGGAAGGCCACTGTCCTCTCGGAACCATAGTTTTCTTATCTAACAAAGGTCCAGACTAGATGACGTTTATAGTTATTTTTAGTTCCAAAAGTCTTCAATTCTAGATTTTGACAGAAAGGGTTTTAGACACAGATGTGGGTTATGTGGCCACACCAATTTGCATGGGGCTATGGGCAAGAGTCATTGCAGAATCCTTTGCAATTGCTGAAGCCTGATGTTGACATTTAGGACTTCCCCGAAGTGTGGGGGAAGTACAAGCTTTATACACTACGATTAGAGTGTAAAGCTGCCTGGGCTGGGCTGAGAATACACTGGCATAAATATTTAAAGTTGAAAATGGACATACCTCCTCCTGCAGCTCTACCACATGTGAGAATTTATTCTAAGGAGATAATCAGAGAAGTGTACAAAGATATAAGAATGGGGACAAATGGAAATAACTTAAATGTTGGGGGAAAACAGTTAAAGAAAATGTTTATCTAGACATTAACAGAATATTATGCAGTAATAGAATAGAATAATAGAATATTATGCAGTCATTTAAAAGGATGATATTCACTAACCTAGAAAAAGTTTATATTATGTATAAACAAGCAAACAGACAAAAAAAACAGGCTGGCCAAGTATAGTGGCTCACGCCTGCAATCCCAGCTCTTTGGGAGGTCAAAGCAGGAGGATTGCTTGAGGCTAGGAGTTCCAAGATCAGTTTGGGCAAAAAGTGCGAAATCGTCTCCACAAAAAAAATACAAAAATTAGCTGAGTGTAGGGGCGCACATCTGTGATCCTAGCTACTCCAGTGGCTGAAGCAGGAGGATTGTTTGAGCCCTGGAGTTAGAGGTTTGCACCACTGCACTCCAGCCTGGGTGACAGATCAAGATACTGTTTCTAAAAAATAAAAATTAAAAACACAAAAAACCTCCAAAAAACCCAGGCTGCAAAACAGCCAGTAAAAACAATCACACTTACATGAAGGAACCCATTTAGGAATCCATATATCCAGGTATGGATTCCGGCACCAAGAGGTTTGGCAGGTGGTTATCTCCGAGGAGGATTTCAGGGCATTTTCATTATCTCAATGTTTCTATAATAAACATATATTATATTTGTATACTGGAAAAGTTTACTAATATCAAGATGTTCCCAACAAATTATCATGTTCAAGCCACCTGAAAAAGTTTGATTCTCCCTCATTCGAGTGGAGATTTAAGCTCCTCTGGGGCAGGATATGACCAGTACCAGCTGTCGCCCCAGAATCTGGTTCTGGCATCTCCAGACAAGCTGGGGCTTCTATTAACTGAGCTCTCCCAGGGCCAAACCCACCACAGTGGTGGCAGTCCAGAGGGGCCAGGGGAAGTTGGAGGGCCAGCTCCCTCTCTCCTCTGCCTCTCAGGGCGGCAGAGTGTGGGTCAGCCCCTCATCAACCACTGTCCTAGCCTGGGATGGACCAGGAGCAAAACATGTTTGCTGCTGAGAGAGGCTGTTTTTAAAGCTTCCATTCTTTGCTGGTAGTGACATGAATGAAAAATACTAAGTGAGTGGGAAGATATTGGAAAGGAAAACTGTTTCTCTTGATTTTCTTCTCAAAAAGAAAACAAGACAATAAATAGGCTAAGAAGTATGATGGAGGACGTGAATTGAACCTTTGAGTCTGTGCTCAGGCCACCCACAGCAGAATCACCTGGGGACTTGTATAAAAATGCCCTCTGCTTGCCAAGGCAGGTGGCAGGAAATGGCCAGTTGAGGGCCCTTCCTTTTTACAGCACCCTGCTCTTAGGGATTGAACCCCTGGAGACCACATGGAGCCAAGTTGGGGTTCTCTTCCCTTTTGGGGTCTCAGTGGAACAGGGTTAGACTACATGGTTAATACAGACATCGGAATGGGTCCCTTGTGGCGAAAAACCTTTCAGTGCTGTTCACAGCTGAGTCAAGTCCAGGCTTCCCCATTGGACACTCATGCCTGTCACAAGCTGCCGTCGCTGACCTCTCCAGCTGTACCCAGGCTGCAGCCCCTCACACTCGACTCACCCCCAGCCAGCTGTGTTCTCCCAGTGTCCCTGTGGTCACACTGTATCCTCTGCACACACCCAGGACCCCTGGGAGAGCACACACCTCTTTGTGGGCCAGAATGAGGCCCTGGGGTCGCCTCCCAAGAGAGGCACTGCCTCCATCTGTGCTTTGAGCCCTGAAGTTCCTGGAACAGTGCCCACCATGCCTGGAACTTTCTACATGTTTACTATGCACACAAGGTCAGGGACTGCATCTTGTTCCTCTCTGCACCCTCAGGTCCTGGCACAGCACTGGCACAGAGCAGATACTTGCTGAATGAACCAGATGTTGCTCAACGTTGGTGTTTCTGAACAACGGCCAAACTACTAGCCACAGACCTGGCCTCGCCACGCACATGGCTAAGGGCAACTGTCAGCCAGGGATTGGGACTACCTCCCTCCCTCTACCCAGAGGTCAGACCAATTGCACAGACAGGACCCTCTGGAAGCAAGTGTAAGCCCAGGAAGAAAGATGAGGTTGCCAGGGCAGGAGACTGAGTCCAGGGAGTCTTCCAATTCATAAAGGCTCTAGGCTGTATCTTCTTCTGATAGTCATGTTTTTCAACCCCCCAAAAAACCTTCTAGCCAAATAATGTCTTTGTAAATGGGGAGGTTAGCACACACCACACTCCTGTGTGTGGTGCGGTTCACTCCTGGTGTGGTGTGGTCTCATGTGGTACAGAGAAAGATTTTTACAAAAGCCACTCACAGGCTACGATGAAAGTCACCATAGGACAAAATGTTGGTTGGTGGTTAAGGAGCAAACTGCTTACATTCCCAACATCCCCTGGTCTCCAGCCTTCCCAACTAAAAGGCACTTTAGAGCTCATTCTAGGATGCAGGTTCTTCACTTTCGGAGATCATGATTTGGACCCCTTGAGATGGGAGGGTGGCATAAGACAGACTTGGGGTTCTCTTTAAAGTTTCCCCCTCTTTTTCTGTGCCGGATACTCTCTTCCTGACCAGTTGAGTGACCTTGGGCAAGTTACCTCTCACGGCCTCAGGATCTTGTAAAATGGAGCTGGTTAGAGGATCGTACTTTGCAGTACTGCTACAAGCGTGAAATAAAAATGTATGAGATATAGCCAGCTCAGAGAATGCGCCCAAACGTTCATTCTCTCGCCTTGTTTACTGTGTTCCAGAAGACAGAGCGTGCTCACACACACTCACTCCCGGTTCTGCTGTCTGAGGCTCAGATCCCCAGTCTCCTCCTCCCCCACGAGAAGCTCCGCTGCCATCTCAGCGCCATCACAGCCAGATGAAGTAAGCCTGTGTGGGAACGTCACCCATCATTTGGAGCACTGTTTCCATGGGAAATGGCTCTGAGGTTCCAGACTGCCCCCTCCACGCAGAAACCAACTTTTGGAACAGCAGCCACTTGGCAGTGGAGGCGGCAGAGCTGGTTCCCATGGCAACAACTGCACTCAGAGCCCCGCCCAGCCCACACGCTGCATGGCAACCCAAACCATTGCTCATACTGGAAACTTCTTCCTAAAAGGCAATAATGCTCCCACAACAATTTTAATAACACATATACGAAAACCTTAGGCATCTTTAAACTGAGATGTAAGCATTTTTGGTTGCTGTCCGTCTTTAACTCTCCTTTTCCCCCACGGTTAGCAGCACCATCTTGCATGGTTTGAAGTTGTTTACTGAATGCTTCACCTCCCCAAATAGATCGTAAGCTCCACGAGGACAAGAGCCACATCCTCTCATTCCCTTGCCTCTCACAGGGACAGAGAGGGCCCAACACATGGGAGGCTCAGTGTCTGCTCATTGACTGACTACTTGTTACTGTCCCAAAGCAGCCTTCCACCCACCAAACCCTCCCTCGTGCCAAGAAGCAGAGGGGTGATGCCCATTCTTCTGATGGGGCTGGCTCACAGCCCTAGAAGTGAGTGGCTGGGTGGGCTGATGACCCCAACATAACCTTTTCAAAGTGTGGTGGGTGAGTCCAAGACCTCCGGGGAACAGTCTTGTGCAAAGCCCCAGTGGTTCTCAGGGGGGCAGCCTAGGGCATCAGACACAGCCTCACCTCTGCAGCCAGGCAGCCCCTGAGTTCCACTCACGCCTCCGATATGGACTCCCTGCATGACCTGGGGTAGGTTTCTTAACTTCTTGGTACCTCAGTTTCCCCATTTACAAAGCAGGAGAACAAAGCCCCCGAGAATGTGTAAGGCCCCAGTGAAAAAGACCTGGAGGGTCCCTCAGCAAGGGCATATTTGCATCGATATACAAACCTGGTAGGCTTCAGTGATTTAGACCATTTCCCTGCCCCAGCCCTAGCTAAGAGCACCCACAGCACACAGGACCGTGAGAGGACCCGACACAGTGATGGATATGAATGCCTAAGGCAGCAGTGGGCCCCAGCAGTGCCCAGTGGTTATTATCCCTCACAAAATGTGCCCCCTTCTCCCCAACTTCCCAGGTTCTAGGGGTTCAATAGAGCCTGTTTAAAAAAATGACAGCCCCAAAAGATCAATGTCCATTGTTCTAAGTAAGCTACACACATGAGAAAAATGGCTTTGGCTACAGACATTATCAAAGGGTCCATGGGCTCCCTGACCTCTCCATGCACCCCTCTTCCTACTCCTCATCCAGCACCACTTCCAAAGCAGTGGCATATGTCCTGGCCAGAAAAAAATGGTGCCCAGGACGAGCGGCACTGCAGTAACAACCCCACCATTTAGTGGACATCTGCTGTGAATTGGTCAGAAGCCAAAGGTCATGCTTAGCACTGTCATGCCACACTCCCTCTGATTCTTTTGTCAATTAGTTCTGCAGCATCACATGGCTTTTCTTTAACTGTCATCGTGATTCACTACCCTATAGCGCACTCTTCATCCTTGTTGCTGCTTCCCCTGGCCCCAAATACAGGACCACAGATTCTCAGAGGCTAGGGCAGTTGCCAACCCAGAACCTCTCCCAAAGATGCCGCCAACTTTATTGAAGGTTTGGCATTCATTGCTTTTTGCTTTTCTAATTCTATACTATTTTAAAGATTTTCCCCTCACCCCATTAATTGGACCACAAGTTTCAATAAGGCTGGAAGAGGAGGACACATTCATTATTAATGGAGCTCTTAGGAGAGCGAATGGACTTTCATTCACAGTGAGCTGAATCAATCCTGGGAAGCCATCTCATCTTTATGATGTCTGGGTGTGCCCAACGCAGGGGGTGTGTCACACTAGGGGGAATGACCCAACCCATGTGGAGGAAATAGCTCTGCATTCCAGGAGCTGCCCTTCCCTTCTGCACAATTCCCAGAAATGGGCAGCTTCCCCAGAGCTGCTGACCTGCCGCTGTGCATAAACAGTGTGTGACCCCGCTAGGGGTCTAGGCCACTTGGCATCCCTTAAGGCTTCATTTTTCTTTCCCCAAGACTTTGCTCCAGCCCTTTGTTTCATACCTGTGCTCATCCAAGCCCAGCACTGTCACTGGGCCACTCAACTTCTCCAGGAAGCCACCAGTGCTTTCAGCTTACTCCAATATTAAGACTTAACCACCCACCTGACCATGTATGTGACTTCATGCTGCAACCATCATCGAGCCCAGATGGCAAGTACGTGGTGTGGGTGCTGCTCCTCCCATTCCCAGAGCCGTGGCAGACATCACTGTTCGACACGGTCCTCTTCCTTGCTCAATCTTATTAATGGAATCCTTTTCAACACAGCACTCTTGACAGCCAGGGCAAGGTGACTGATCCAGAGAGAAAACTCATTTGCTACCCCAGATCTGAAACCCTTAACACTCTACCCTTCTGGTTCTCTCCACAACATCTCTTAGTGGCCATCCTTTTCCATGGGAAGAGCTCAGCACCTTTAGGGATAGTCTGCCTGGTTATCTCTGGAGAACTCTATTATCTAAGTCTTCTGTTAATCTATTGGCCCTGCTTTTCTACCAATCCAAACTCCTCTGCCAGGATCCCACTTGAACTGCTTGCAGCAGGGCAGAAATGATCAGACAGGAGGCCAGAGATCTAGGTAAAGGCCAAGGCTGAAGTAAGCCAGAGGAGGGACACTTGCACTTGGGTTTTGCATGGCCCCCAAGTACCACATGCTTCCTTATATTTCAACTGTTGACACCTGTGTCTTCCTTACTAGCATGGGAGCACCTCCCGGATAGGGCCTGGGGCTTAGCTACCTACAACCACCACTACGAGTCCCAGAGTATGTGTGCAGAAACCATCTTCCGCGATAATTACAATAGTGGTCATGTTAGATTAGAAACAGTAGGAACATTATATGTAAGCAGTGTGTCCGATGCTGTTGGAAGATTTTACCAAATTAAGTCATTTAATTCTCATAACAACCCTATGAGGTAATAAGGACTTTGATTATCTCCATTTTATAGATGAAGAAACTGAGACACAGAGAAGTATTAATAAACCAACGTTTCTAAGGTTTCCCAGCTAGGAAGTGGCAGTGCCAGGATCTGAAACCAAGCAGTGTGGTTCCAGAGCCACGCTAGCCGGTCGTGCTGGGCATACTCTTGCAGCTGTGGTGCTGGTGGGCACATGCGTGTGGAGTCAGGCCAGGGCAGAGGCAGCAGATCCAGGAGTGCTGGAAAGAGGTCAGCAGTGAGCAGGGGGGTGGCATCAGAGTCCAGGAGGCCCCCAAGGCCAGATCACTGCCCTGCAGGAGCAGCAGCCCGGCAGGGCAAAACATTGGGGGCACCCAGGGCAAACAGTAGTCATTGGGAACAGATGTCCCCTGCCCCTGGCACCCCATATCCTGACTGGGACAGACTGCAGAACAGGACATAGATCTGGTACTAGCAGGTACCCCCACCCTTGAGGACCAAGGAAGAAGCTAGGGGCACCAGGTGGCTCTGAAACCCTTATTTTCTATCCCCTCCATTTGGGATCCTCTTCCCTGTACTGGTCCCTGCCCCAGCCTCAGCCCCAGCCCATCTCCTTGTGTCCCTACACATGCCCAGCCCAGGGCTGGCCCCTCACTTGGAACCCCTTGCCAAGGAGCTTGAGTTATGCAGACAGCCTGCAACCTTAGGCAAGTCATTTGCCTTCTGTGCCTCAGTTTTCTCTTCTGTCAAAGTGGCAACAGTGGCAGCATTTGCCTCATGGTGGCTGTGAAAGGCTACATTTATCTGCTTGTCCTTATATCTGGCACAGAATGACTGCTCATAAACACCAAGTTATTACCATCATCAACATCCTTCTTTGAAATCTATCCTAAGTCCTGCCTCCTACAGGAAGCCTTCTTGCTTCTCCAAACCCCCCTTGAGCTGGCACACAGTAGCTGCTTAATAAGCACTGAACGATGATGAAACAAGTGCCCAAGGCTGCATGGCTAGGAGTGATGCGCCTCACATGCACTGGGGGCCCTCAGACCCTAACCTACCGCACCCCAAGCACACACGGGAGTGTAACGTAGGCTTGCTGAATGGCTGCGCAGTCAAACAGGGTCCCCACAACTCTTTTTGATGACCACACTGAGGTTAGCCAGCAGGAAAAGCCCAGCAGAGACCAGACAAATTGCACAGTACAAACTCCAGAAGCTCAGAGGGCAGGGGACTGGAAAGAGGTACAGGGCTGGGAAGGACAGGTGACCCAGGGGAGGGCCACCTGGGCCACAAAGGCCTGAGGCTGGAACCTCTGGGGAGGGCTATCATCCCCACTTTAACAGGGGGGAGACAGAGGCAGAGAAGTTAAGGCATTTGCCCAAGAGCACAGGTTAGGACAGGGAAAGGCTGAGATTGGCACTGAGACCTGGCAAGCAAGGAAACCGAAACTGCCCCACTCACCACCCAGAGTCCCCAAGCCTGAGGGTCTAAGTGGTCTCAGAACTTAGGTGGCAACAAGACCCTCAGTCTAAGGGGCCACACAGCTGCCCCAGCTCACCTGGCCCCATGGCCTCTGGGGTCCTATCCCAGCCCCCACCAACAACAAGGGTGGGAGGAACGCAATCTGGGGTGAGGGCAAGGCTGCCATCAGTCTCCCAGTTGCCTTGAGTGGCAGCTAAGGGAAGAGAGGAGGAAGTGGCTTTATTTTTAAATCCTTGTTCTCAGTCCCTGGGGGTCTATTAATATTTTCCTAGTGCTGGGCAGTCTCACCTGCAGCTTTCCATAGGAATCTGCACACAACTGCGAAGGTCATGCTGGGGGCCCTCACCTCCCCCAGCCTGGCAGGCTGCTGTCCTTCCTGCTCCCCACCCTCACTCTGCTGAGCCCATGAGCCCCTCATTGCTCCTTCCCGGCTGCTCGGGCCCAACCCTGCACAAACTGGACTCGGCCAGCACCTGCCCCCACCAGCCCGGCCCCTTTCCCACCTTTCTGCCCTCAACTCTCTTAGTCTTTGTCCCCCAGCAGTTCAAACATCCGTTTACCTCAAATCCGAGGCCGAGGCCCAGCGCCTCTGCCGTGTGTGGCTTGCCTACCTCAGCGGCTCGCCTAGGGCCCCCTCCACCAGCGTCACCCCCCCCACTCCAGTGTGATTGCTCCTCAGCTCACCCCTGAGCACGTCGTCCTCCTGAAAAACCGCCCATGGGTGCCTGAAGCTCTCCCCCTCACCACGGCATTCCAGGCCAACACCCCTTACCCTCCCACAGCCTGTGCCCTGCTGGTTCCTAGTGCCCCGTCCTTGAGGACAGGGATGGTGCATGGCAGGGTGCCTGGCGCCCACAGGCACCAAGTCTGCCCATGAGAGTTCTCACTGCTTCTCACCTGTCCTCTGCCTGTGAGAACAGCCCCTTGTCTAAGGAGCAGCCTCCCTGTTCCCCACCCCCCAGCCTTTCTTAAATAAACCCAGCCTCCAGAAGTGATTAATTGCCCCAGGCCACCTCCACCTCCCACAGCCTCCTTCCACCCGGCCACCTTGCTTCCATCTGTGGAATGGCAGCCAGGCGGCAGGCAGCAGCCTGAGTGCTTTGCAGCCGTTACTCCATTTGAAGACTCGAGACATCTTACCAAGAGGCATTTAGGTCCTTTGGGAACCATGCAGGTCGTCAGAGAGGTGCTGTGGTTTGTCCAAGGCCACGCATCTCCATGCGCAAGTTTGACCACAAAGCTTGGTGTGTACCTCTCCATCTCCCCTCAAATCTAGGAGATGTGTGTTCCTTACTGTCATAGTCCCCTGCTACAGTGGACGGGGGCTGAGGGCCAGGCCTCATCTTCTTCACCTCTGGGCACCTTAGAGTGGACACTTTCTGCACAGAGACGCCCCAGGGGCCTGCTGTCTGCATTTCTACCATGGGAGCAGGCTTGTGTGGATGGTGCCGGCACTCTGTTGAGACCACACAGGGCCTACAGGAGTGGGGTGGCAGCCCTTACAAGGGAGACACCATGTAAGGAGTCCCACTGGACACACGTGGGCAGCAGCCCAGC